GGAAGGAAGGAAGGAAGGAAGGAAGGAAAGAAAGAAAGAAAAGAGAGAGAAAGAAAGAAGTTGACTGAGACATGGCCCATTCCCTCCCTGGAACCAGCTTCTTTCCAGCTCAAGGGTCAAGACTGTGTCCCCAGGAAGAAGCAAAGGCTATGTTTTCCACACCCTTATCTAGAGGTGAGCCGGCAGAAGCTCCTCCCAGACTGCATCTATCAGACAGACTGCTTGGGTGAGGAACCAAGGGAGGAGACACCACCTGTCCCCACTAATGACAGAAGACCTGGCAGCCTGAAGCCCTAATATTGGCTCTGGCCCTTTAAGATCCCACCCCACTTAACTGTAACACCCCCCTTCTCCAGGAAATTGGCAAGGACCCTTGGGCTGTTGGCCTTAGCTCTTGGAGACAGCGGGACAGAGTTGGCAGGACTGCCTCCGCTGCTTTGAAAATATTTAACAATAGGTAACTTTGGCATTTCGAGCAGGTCTTGGATCACAGGAGTTGTGGAGGCCCTGGGAGATGTCGAAAAGGCACGGTGAAAGGTTTTGTTTTGCCCGGAAGGAAAGCATGTGGCTATCTCAGTCAGCTCAGACTTCTACTTGGGCTGAGGAGGAAATCAGGAAGAGCTTCTGAGTGTTCACAGAACGCCGCCTCTACCTTGTAGCTGCCCAGGCGGAATCGTTCAATCTCTCATCTGACATCACCTTCACAGAGTCAGTTTCATTTGCAAGGAAAACACTGACCAAAAAAAGAAAAAGAAAAAACCACACACAACAACAACAACCAGAAGTAACTTTCTTTTAAAGGGCTCCAAACCTCCTGCTACCAAAAACTAGAATTCCCGGTCTCTCTGGTTTACTGTCCCCCCAACCCAAGCTTTGTGATGGTTTTCACTTCTTCCAGTGACACTGAAGGCAGCCCCAGGAGTAATTTTCTTGCGTTAACCTCTGCAGACACGAGCTTCAGGCTCCTATTTTGGCTCTGCGAAGTGCTTTTCACGCATCCTCTCATGCAAACTTCACAACCACCTTGTGAGTTTGGGTCTCTAGTTTTTGCCCTGTGTTAGGGATGAGGAAACGGAAGTGCAAAGGGCTTGAGCAACTCGCCACAAATCGTGATGCCATTTAAAAGAAGGGGTGGGATTTGAACTCAAGACTGTGCCCCAAAAACTGTTCCTGCCATGCCAGATGGAATCTCTAGGGGTGGGATAAGGGGATAAGGATGACAGAAATATGACAGCTCAGCCTTCAGGACATGGGCAGTATCCTCAGCCTGCTGAATCACACTTACAGCCCAGATACAGGGAGGGCTTGGACTGGGAACTAGGGGCCAGTTAAGGGCTCCTAGTTATTTTTGGTTTTTATTTTTTTATTTATTTTTTTTACTTTTTTTTTTGAGGTAAGGTCTTACTCTGTCACCCACGTTGGCGCAATCACCGCTCACTGCAGCCTTGATCTCCCAGGCTCAAGTGATCCTCCCACCTCAGCCTCCTGAGTAGCTGGGACTACAGGCGGTGCCACCATGCCTGGCTAATTTTAAAGTTTTTTGTAGAGATGAGGTTTCATCATATAGCCCAGGCTGGTCTTGAACTCTTGAGCTCAACTGACCTGCCTGCCTCTGCCTGGGATTACAGGAGTGAGCCACCGCACCCGGCCTAGTTTTATTATTTAGTTTAATTTTTTTTTTTTTTTTTAAAGAATAGGCATTTGCTGTGTTGCCCAGCCTGGTCTCTATAACTCCTGGCTTCAAGTGATTCTTCTGCCTTGGCCTTCCAAAGTGCTGGGATTATAGGCATGAGCCACCACACCTGGCCCCAGTTAAATTTGAATTTCACATACACAAGAAATGATATTTTATTTTATTTTATTTTTAATTTGTTTTATTTTGAGACAGTCTCACTCTGTCGCCCAAGCTGGAGTGCAGTGGCGCAGTCTCGGCTCACTGACTGCAGTCTCCGCCTCCTGGGTTTAAGCAATTCACCTGCCTCAGTCTCCGGAGTACCTGGGACTACAGGCACGCTCCACCAACCCCGGCTAATTTTTGTATTTTTTGTAGAGACAGAGTTTTACCACGTTGGCCAGGCTGGTCTTGAATTCCTGACCTCAAGTGATCCACCCACCTCAGTCTGCCAAAGTGCTGGGAGTACAGGTGTGAGCCACCGCTCCCAGCCAAGGAATGATATTTTAGTATAAATGTGTACGTCCATTCAAGGGAATAACAGGCAGGTTAGCAAAGATGAGTCATAAAATAATATTATTATAGTTTTGTGACCTCTCAGGAAACAAATGATATAAGCATAAAATATTATGACTTTACTATTATTATTTTATTTTTATTGATATTAATTGAATCTTAGTGGACCAAAATGACATAGGTATTAACCAAAGTCATGAATAAGCATAGAGTGTGAGATGTTAGATACTGCAACACAGATAGGTTATGTTGCAGTGCAGCACTAAGAATGAATGTCTGTGTATAGTATATATTAATTCTTTTCCCCATATGATTTTCTAGAGCTGGAGGGATTAAAAAATAGATCTATGAGGCCAGGCATGGTGGCTCATACCTGTAATCCCAGCACTTTGGGAGCCCAAGGCGGGCAGATCACTTGAGGTCAGGAGTTCAAGATCAGCCTGGCCAACATAGTGAAACCCTATCTCTATTAACAATACAAAAAATTAGCCAGACATGGTGGCACCAGCCTGTAGTCCCAGCTACTCAGGAGGCTGAGGCAGGAGAATCATTTAAACCTGGGAGGCGGAGGTTGCAATAAGCTGAGATTGCACCACTGCACTCCAGCCTGGGCAACAGAGTGAGACTCCATCTCAAAAAGAAAAAAAAGAAATTTGCCTTTTCGGTCTGAACACTTTCAGAATTTTCTTTTTCAACAACAGCAACAACAACAACAACAAAAATAGCATGCCAAGGATATGAATAATTGAAGAAATGTGCAAGCTGCATGCAAAGAACATTGTAAAATCTTACTGAAGGTCACCAAAGACTTGAACTTGTATTTTCTCTCAATCCTCATCACAGTGCTCTGAGGTGGATATCATTTTATCTTTCTGCACCCAGAAAGATTAAATAAATTGCTCAAGTCCACAGAGTGGCAGAGCTGCAGTTTAAACCAGATTCTCACATTTGTGCTCTGTATGGTAACTAATGCTAGCCCCAAGGAACTGATACAAATTAATGAAGTAACCAAATGTGACTTCAGTTATTATTTTAGGTCAAGATTATTCCTACATGCACCATGCACATGCTGGCTCACAAATTGTAGGTTTCTCCTTGGTTGTAAACATAGCATGAGTCATATTTGTGGCAAGAACCATGTAACAGTGAAAGGATATTTTGAGATTTTTGGAGTAGATATTCCTCAGATTCTGAAATGCTCAGGTGAGATAAGGCTGTGCCTCCAGGCCCTCGCACTTGCTGTTCCCTCTATCTGGAAAGCACTTCCCCAGATACTGGCACAACTACCTTCCTCATTCCTTCAAATCTTTGCTTAGATATTGCCATCACGAGGAGTTCTTTCCTGGCCACCCTACTTAGAATTACCATCTCTCCTGGCTTTATTTTTTCCCACAGTACTTATCACTATCTACTGTATGTATAATTTACGTTTTTATTTTGTTTACTGTCTCCCCCTCATCCTCTACCCACCCCTCTGCACCCCAAAAAATGTTAGCTCCAGGATAGAAGCAGAATTTTGTCTTTTTGTTTTGCCATCAGCACTAAGAACAGTGCCGTATGCAGAGTTGGTTCTCAGTACTTGTTGAATGAATGTATGAGCAAATGAAACCAGAGGAACAAAGTATATACACCCCTCAAAGGAAGCCCTGCACTAGCAAATTACGAGTTTGACTCCAAGGGCATCTCAAGATGGCAGCAGAGAGGGACAGAAACAGAGAGGAACATAGAACTGACTGGCTGTGACTATAGGTTCATTCTACTGTTATCTGTTTTTGCATTTTCTACAGAGAATTCATGATTTAGATGTCCTTTTGTGACTTGCTTCTGTTATTTATATTCTGATTGCAGGATTTATCCATGTTTTCCTGTGCAGCTGTAAAATTTTGTTATTACTCTAGCTGTATGGGATACCATTGCAGGAATAATATGCAATTTATTTATCCATTCTACTATTTTGGGCATTTGGGTTGATTCTTCTTTGGGACTATTTTGATCCCTGCTGGTGTGACCACTTTGTCAAGCTTCAGGTGCACATGAGTAAGAATTTCTCTAGAAGGACAGGAATTTCTTCTCTTTTGCCTAATAATAGCAAACTGTTACCTAAAATGGTTGGGCTAATTAACACTCCCAATAGCAATGTGTGGGAATCACCATTGCTCCACATCTTAGCCAACACTTGTTATTATCTGACTTTTTTTTTTTTTTTTGAAGATAGAGTCTTGCTCTGTGGCCCAGGCTGAAGTGCAGTGATATAATCTTGGCTCACTGAAACCTCCGCCTCCCGGGTTCAAGCGATTCTCCTTCAGCCTCCCAAGTAGCTGGGATTACAGGTGCCCACCACCATGTCCAGCTAATTTTTGTATTTCCTTTTTTTTTTTTTTTTTTTTTGTGAGTCACAGTTTTGCTCTTGTTGCCCAGGCTGGAGTGCAATGTGCGATCTTGCCTCACTGTAACTGCCACCTCCCAGGTTCAAGTGATTCTCCTGCCTCAACCCACCCACGTAACTCGGATTACAGGTATGCACCACCATGCCTGGCTAATTTTTGTATTTTTGGTAGAGATGGGGTTTCATCATGTTGGCCAGGCTGATCTCGAACTCCTGACCTCAAGTGATCTGCCTTCCTCAGCCTCCCAAAGTGCTGAGATTACAGGTGTGAGCCACTGTACCTGGCCTATCAGATTCTTTAATTTTGCCCTTCTGATGAGAATAAAATGGTGTCTCCCGGTGGTTTTATTTTTATTTTCCCTGATTATAAATGAGATTGACAGCCTTTTTATAAGATCAGTTTGTGCTTTTTACATTTATGTATTTATTTATTTTGAGACGGAGTTTCACTCTTGTCGCTCAAGGCTGGAGTGCAGTGGCGTGATCTTGGCTCACTGCAACCTCCACCTCCCCGGTTCAAGTGATTCTCCTACCTCAGCCT